GAGGACAACAGGACATGTGTGAGGACAACAGGACATGTGAGGACAACAGGACATGTGTGAGGACAACAGGACATGTGAGGACAACAGGACATGTGTGAGGACAACAGGACATGTCTGAGGACAACAGGACATGTGTGAAGACAACACGACATGTGAGGACAACAGGACAGGTCTGAGGACAACAGGACATGTGTGAAGACAACAGGACAGGTCTGAGGACAACAGGACATGTGTGAAGACAACAGGACATGTGTGAAGACAACAGGACATGTCTGAGGACACAGGACATGTGTGAAGACAACAGGACATGTGTGAGGACAACAGGACATGTGTGAAGACAACAGGACATGTGTGAAGACAACAGGACATGTGTGAGGACAACAGGACATGTGTGAAGACAACAGGACATGTGTGAGGACAACAGGACATGTGAGGACAGTGGTGAGATGCGCTGTATAGGAGGGGCAGAGAGCTTCAAGGGGAGATGGGACTGCATCAAGGATCAGCTCTGAGCTTCTTCCTGTCTGCTCTGGTGATGGACAGACTAACAGATGAGGTCAAGCAGGATGTGCACTATGATGTTTGCAGATGACCAGTGTTGGGAAAAGCTAACCAAAAAGTCGTAACTCAAAATTCAAAACTCATAATCCGCTATGTAAAAATATAGCTTCACTAATGCTAAACTGCTAAACATATAAAAAAGAAAAAGAAAAAAGAATAGCATAAGCTAACACTGAACAAAACTAGTGGACTCTAACGCTAACAGCTAATTGCTAACAGCTAAGACAACTGCCACTCAGTCTGAGTCACACGTCTTCGTCTCCTTTGAGCCGAAGACCGGTGGGACTGACACAGACCTGTTGATGTTAGCTTGTTAGATAGCTGTTGTCAGACACAAAGTTTGCAAAACTTAAATTTAGTGGAAGCTACCGTTATTGGTCCGCTCACAGTTTTTTCTTAAGTTAGTAAAAAAGTTAATTGACTAAATTAAAAAAAGTTCAGTCATTAGCTGTCAGCTGATGAGTGGGAATCATGGCCACTTTGGCAACTTTAGCAACACTTCTAATCCTTGTTTGGACTTTAGCTTATTTAATTCATAAAGCTTCTGTCTGTAATGAACTGAATTAATAAAAGTCGTGTTTGGTGTTCATGAGCACTCTCTCATATTGAAAGCAGGAGTGTTTTCTTCTTGTTCTTGTTCTTGTTCTTGTTCTTGTTCTTCTTCTTCTTCTTCTTCTTCACCCAGTGTAATTCTTGATACTGATTCAGGCTCTGTAATTGTAAAGCAGCTCAGCAGGAAGTGAAGCAAGTCTCGGCTATCGAGCGGCTTCGGTCTCACACTGAGCAAAAACACAAGGGTGGTGGCACCGCCGCTGAGAACATGTCAATTCTGCTCTTTAGAAAGAAAGGAAGAAAAAAAAAKGAGCCCCCTCTCAAAGGCTGAAAGCAAATCAGCGCCGCTATCGACCCGGACAAGCGGGGCCTGTAAATTGCACTCGAAGAGATGAACAAAGCAACAAAAACCGTTGCTCCTCGGCTGTTATTGACGACCAACACTTCAGCTAGCATGCCTCACTTCCAAATGAAGGATTCAACAGACTCCGAGATGAGAGGAAAAAAAAACTAAAAGGTACTCAATAGACCATTCAGAGAACTTGAGTTTGAGCTCAAAAATGATTAAAATGAGGCTTTTTCACTTCTGACATGAAAGTGCTGTTTTTGCTCAATGACTGCAGCTGAAAGGCATGCTGGGAAATTATGTTTCTAAAAGGAAGTGACATCACAGAGTAAAGGTATGCAAAACACTGCAGTTTGGTATCACTGTCAAGCCTGTTTACTTTCAGGTCAAATAGTTTCTGTGTTTCACAATACTGAGAAGTCCAATTAAAAAAAAAACAAGGTTTTTATTGTTTTTAGAGGAATCCCATAGTTTAAATTAAAACACAGAGAATCATATTACCTGCCAGCCTTCATGGTCAAACCATAAAAATAACATGTGTGTTGGGGACCAGTCTCAGCTACTACTGCACTAAATTTTCAGTCAATATCTTTAAAACGGTCTGTTTTAGGGATTTTTAAAACCATTTGGCAGYGACAGCCATCTTTAATCAGATTTCTTTCTTTCCACTGGCTTTGAAAAAACACACATTTACTTCAAACTAAATGCATTTCGTGGCCTACATGATTGTAATGTGTTCTGTGAATTACAGTCTGTCGCAGATAAATGTCCTTTTAAATAACTTTTTCATAATTATCTATGTGTGAATGTCAAAGACATGAGATATTGCAACTGTTTTTCCAATGTGTTTTTTTTTTACTAGGCAAATAAACTTGAACTTGAGATTGATTGACACCCCCCTCTAGTGGGAATTCCCTGTTGAAAAGTGGGAGAGTTCAGAGTTCAAAATGGCAACTCATCACAACTCAACAGTGAGGAAAACGCTCTACTTTAAAAAGTATTTCTTTATTATTTGTTTCACATTCAATCAGTCGTAAATGCATTTTTTTATGTTTTACATGTTAAAGTGCTGTTTCTATGCAGAAAATACCACGTAGAACTCAGTTATTGTTTGTTAGCTGTGTTCAGCCATAGCAGTGAGGCGAGGAACGTGACGTTACGTGTTTTTAATCAAAGTTAAACATGAAGCATCAATGTTCATTACAGCTGGCCCATGAGATATTTTGCTAACAGACCTGGTCCACTAAAACCACTAATTAGGTCTCATCTTTCTGTTTTCCTTTTTATTTTTGGCTGCTTTTGCTTGGGTCCTCTTCGCCTGTTTACAATAGCCGAAGAGGAGACAGATGAAAAGAGGCCCCATCATTGTTCGGTTCCGTGAGTTTCGGCTGAAAATGAGTAAGTGCTCGTCTCCCAATTATGAATCCATTTGCTGGGTGGCGGTGGTGGGTGTCTCTGTGATGTGACGACGGACAGGAGATCCCAGAGAGCCAGAGCAAACAATGTGAGGCAGCCGTAAAGGTAATTTCAGCGCACACCTAATGACAGGAGATGACAAGGAGTAATGGGGAGGCAATTAGTGTGGAGGTGGCGGGAAGATGAGTGTGGAACAAGGTGAGCTAATGTATTCTTAGCTTGTACACATCCTGCGTCCACCTTGTAATGAAGAWATGGACCCTTTCAGGACCACAAAGAGTAAAGTAAAGACATTTTTAATCAAATACTTTTAAGTAATAATTGACTGCATAAGAAAAGCGAACTGTAGTGTTTTTGCCTGTGTCTGTTAGCAAAATATCCCATGAACTGCTGGATTCAAAATGGCCGCCACAGCTGTCTGACATTACAAAACACAAACGTTACAACAACGTGGTCAATAGTACAAATACTAAAATAAACTTCAGTGGTAGTAACAGATTCATCCCCTACACATTCTGAGCACTCTTCCGATTCAACTTTTCTTTGTCTGTTAGCAAAATATCTCACGAACCGCCAGGTGGATTTTATCAAAACTTTCAGGAAACAATTGCTTAATGTAGCTCTGCAAATGTTTTGCTTTTGGAGTTGACCCACTACAAGATGGTCGCCACAGCCAGCCGACCTCAGAGGACACAGTAGTGGCTAAACTCCGATCAGTTTTAAGAAAAATGGGCTAAGATTTGGTGTATTAGTGGCTGAGAGTAGATCACAACACATCCTACAAGTGCAGCTCGTTGCAGAAGAGCTTTGCTTCAAAACGATGGCGTTAACTGTTGCAGTCAGCACCCTGTTTGTCTGTTAGTAAAATAACTCACAAACCACTTGGGGCGTTTCAATGAAACGCTCGAGAAATAATCCCTGAATGTAATTCTACATCTCAATTATGTTCTGAGCCAATACTAATTATTGCAGCTGCCTAATCTGATCAAAAGTAGCTGAGAGTCATCCCCGACGCATACTCTGAGCACTAATATATTTGTGTTGGCGTCAAAGATGGCAGCTGATGCATTTTTTTTCAAGGAATTAGTGTTTTTTTTAACTTTACCTGCCTGCTGTTTGTAAGCACACACTGCACAGTGTCCTGTGTGTGTGTGTGTGTGTGTGTGTGTGTGTGTGTGTGTGTGTGTGTGTGTGTGTGTCCTACAACGTGGGGTATTTATTTATTTATTTTTTTTACCAAAAAAGCAGCCAGGTGGGGACCGAAGTGAATCGTGGGGACCATTGTCAGGACCCCACGGGTCCAAATGCATGTTACAGGTGTGGGGTTAGGTTTAGGACCAAGGTTTAGGTTAGTTTTAGGGTCAGGTAAGTTTCTGTGAGGTTAATTTTAGAGTATATGGTCAGGGTTAGGCTATAAAGTCTAAAAAAAAAGAATGGAAGTCAATGGAAGGTCCCCACGGGGTCGAGAAACAAACGTGTGCGTGTGTGTTTGTGTGTGTGCGCGCGCGCCCTTGGTTAGGTTTAGGACCAATGTGTGAATTGAGTTTAGGTTAGTTTTAGGGTCAGGTAGGTACCTGTGAGGTTATTTTTAGGGTATATGGTCAGGGTTAGGATATAAAGTCTAAAAAAAAAGAATGGAAGTCAATGGAAGGTCCCCACGGGGTCGAGAAACAAACGTGTGCGTGTGTGTTTGTGTGTGTGCGCGCGCGCCCTTGGTTAGGTTTAGGACCAATGTGTGAATTGAGTTTAGGTTAGTTTTAGGGTCAGGTAGGTACCTGTGAGGTTATTTTTAGGGTATATGGTCAGGGTTAGGATATAAAGTTTCCAAAATAATGAATGGAAGTCAATGGAAAGTCCTCACAAGGATACAGAGACATAGTAGGTGTGTGTGTTTTCCTCCCCTGGAGGCCAGAGTCTCTGAGATTTCTTCCGGGTTTGTGCCTCTTGTTTGGTTTGGGTGTATCAGCACAGCTCAACATAACAAACTGTAGCTGGCCTTCAGGACACTTTTTATTATTCTACATTAAAGATGTCTGCCGCGGGCTCGGACCTCGCTTTTACTCGCCTCACCTTGAAGTGATTTCACCCCCGGAGCGGACCGGACCGGACCTGAGACACCTGTTGCTCCAGTTTCGACAGACAGGTGCCTTCGTGTTTCAGACCAGACGGGCAGCAGCTCCGCCTCTGCCGGAGAGTCTCGCTTTCAGCGAAGCTCGGATTTATTTGAAAGTRTTTGTTGTGAGTTTGGCGGCAGACATGAAAGTTACTGTAACTTTCGGGGCCACCGCGGTGGTGGTTCCCTGTAAAAGCGGATGGACGGTCCGGGATTTAGTGGAACAGGCGACGCGGAGGTATCGCAGGGCTCTGGAGCAGGTAACAAAACAAACTTTCTTCTAAAACACTTTTAATACGATATTTTACTTTTCACGCACCCAGTGAATTGTTTTATTTTTTTTGTTCTTGCGCTTGTAAAAGACTGTTTACTTTCCCGAAACCCGTTTACCTGAGCTGAGCTGAGGTGAGGGTCACGTGACACGCCTTATGTCATCGGAGCTAACGTTAGCAGCTAGTGGAAATGAGGGCTAATATTTCAATTTTCTGACAGATAAAAATAAAAATTTCAAAAAACAACTTGCACACACATACACAGCGCTTTAAAAAACATGATTATTAAAAACACAGAAGCTGGAAGTGGCTYGTAAAAGCAGATATTTATGTGAATGTTTGGAGAAATGAGCTTTGTTGCTACAGATGTGATAGCCTAGCCTGTCAGGCTAAAGCTAACGTTTTTTCAACAAACATTACTCTACTTTTAAAGCCTTACAAAATAATTTTTTGTATTAATAACAGACTTGAACATAATTATTTAGTTGAATCGAGTTCAAAAGTATTTATTTTTATTTTGTTAATTGTTTCCTGTCCATATTCAGTCTGTTTTTTTAATTGTTTCACTACCATTTAAATATTTACTCTAAATTTATTAAATAAATACCTTACTTAGTGAAATTACATTTTCTTGTATATTAACAAAAAGAATCAATAAAAAATCTACATAGGTTCTGAACAGGTATCTTAAATACGGTACAAAGTGTAAAACAGGAGTGAGCTATGCTGTGAGAAAAAGCTAGTTTAATGTGTTCTACAACCTGGACRGACATAGTGTGTCATTAATTGTCCTCACAACATTTAAAACCGTTTGGAAAGGTGAACAGTGTGCGGTACACACCAATAACTTTTTACATGTTTCCATTCAAAGAGGTTTCTGTATTTTTACTTTGTTTATGTGTAACTTTGATGCTTGAAGATATTTGAATAAATACGTCTGAATCTTTTATGTAATATTAGTAGCAGAAGGAAAAAAACTAAACAAATTCCTGAGAACCAAGGCATACAATTTGTTTTTAAGTGGGGCTGTAATTTTATRCCTTTCAATAGAGAGTACATTCTTGCTTGAAATGAATATCAGCTGTTTAAAGTCTGTATTTCTCCTTCCTGCTTCTCCATCCACCTGTCATTCAGCTCTCTGCCTCCTATATTTTCTGTCATTGGTCCTCATGCAAGAACCGTTCGTACGCACAGATTTGTTCTTAAGTTGTGCGTACGAGTGATTTAGGAGAATTTGTGGCATTCACCAA